GGCGCTTTTTTTTTTTTTTTTTTGCCCTGGAATCTACTGTCCTGGTTCCCTGCTCAGTCCTCCAATCGCCAGCCAAAAGGGCACCCGGACCGCTGCTCCAGGGCCCGATAAAGCAGCCGCGCGGGGCAAAGCTGCAGCGCCGGCCGGCACAGCCGCGCTGGCTGAAACAGCCGCGCTGGTGACCTGTGGAGTTCCTCCGCCTGGGAATTTCCTAGTCTGTGGGTAATAAAAAGCGGCGTCCACTCACCCTCTGCGCTTTCACTGGGAGCTGCAATCCTGAGCTGTTCCTAAACGGCCATCTTGGATCAAGAATCTTGCATGTTCTTTACATGTACCCCAAAACCTAAAATGCAATAAAATAAATGGAAAAAAAAAAAAAGAACAAAGACTGAGGTCTCCTGAAGAGGAGGCATTCTGCAGCAAGACTTGCAATGTAGAAATTCTGAGTTTCTAGCCTACCAGCCTGCTATACCAATTGCAGATTTGCCAGCCCAACAATCACATGGGAAATTCCTTAAAATACATCTTTCTCTCTGTCTCTTTCTCTCTCCATATATATATATTTGTGTGTGTGTGTGTGTGTATGCATATATACTTGAATATAAGTATATCCTATTGGTTCTGTTTCTCTGGAGAACCCTGACTGATATACTTTCTTTTTACTCATTTCCTCTCGATTAGCACTTTTCAAACTGTCATGACTGTGTGTGAATCATCTGTGTGTGAATAACTTGTCTAAGTGCAGCCTCTAAGTCAGTGGTGGTGGGCTAAGATTCTGTATTTTGAGCAAGCTCCCATGTAATACCTATGCTGCTGGTCTGTGGACCACATTTTGTGTAGCAAGGCCTTATATGATCAACTTTTTCTTTTAAATTATATCATGAGCTCAGTTCTTCTCCTGAAACATTAACTTGTAACTGTATTGCACTCCATCCTATGAATTGCCATAAATTAGATACATTCAGGCTTTAGAAACATATTTCCCAAAGGCTATTTACAAAAATTGTTCAAGTATAATCTCACCCAAAGGCCTGGCTTCTGTAGCACAATAGAAAAATAGTAGAAATGTAGAAAAATTGTCAAAATGGAATCTCACCCAAAGACCTGGTTTCTGTAGCAAATCAGGCCTGCATGCTCAGTCCCTGGTTACAAGGGCTTCCCTTAGCTTTTTTTTCTTTACTTTTTATTTCAGTAGCTACAAAAATTCCTTTCGCCTTTGTCTGGGTGTTCATATTATTAGTCTCTGCTGGGAAGGGGAACCTACTGAATAGACATGGTTCTCAGAAGTCATTCATACATTCTTCCATTTATTCATGTAATAATATTACTCAGTTATATCATCAGTTGATGTTATAGGCACCATGCTGGGAACTGTATACAGGGGATTCATTTAATAACTAATCATTTATAAAATGAATATAATTGTAGTTATGATAATTACATGGTGATGTAAGTATATAACAAGAAACTGGTCTAATCTAAGGGTCAGTGACACTTCCTATGGAAGTGACATTTCAGTTGAGCTCTGGTTGTCTGAGGATATGCCACTCACTTTCCTAACTTTTGGCTAGTCCTTTTTGAATAGGTGGAGGCTTTGATGACAGAATCTTGGAAGTCACCTTTAGTGAGAGGTGGCACACATGAAGTCTCCAAAGATCTCCCTAGAGGTCCATTGTAGCTGCTGCTCCTCATTCTCCCCGTCAAGCTCTTATGTAGATGACCCTCCAAAGGAGTTCCCCTTCTGTCTGCTCTTGGGCGGCATCTCAGTTTCCCTCTACTGAATCTGAACACAATCTGATTTCCCATCCATGTCCATTTGCTACAGGAAATGCAGCCTAAATAACAAGTTATCATGAGGTAATTCATCATAGGCAAATATTTTGATCTTTGAATCAGTCATTATTTTGACCACTCTCTGCCACTGCTCTTTCCATTAACATGGATAATGATAGTTGAAAAGAAATTGGTACTACAAAGCTACAGTAATCGAAACAATATGGCACTGGCAGAAGGATAGACATAGAACAATGGAATAGAATTGAGAGTTGAAAAATAAATCTATACATTTATGGCCAATTGATTTTTGAAAAGGGTGCGGAGACAATTCAGTGAGGAAAAGAATATTCTCTTCAACAATTGATGCTGGGCAAACTGTATATCCACATAAAAAAAGTGAAGTTGGACCCCTACCTCATACTATATATAAAAATTAAGACAAATGGCCAATAACCTAAATATAAAAGCCAAAATAATTAAACTCTTTTGAAGAAAAAATAGGGTTTGAATCTTTACGACCTTGGATTTGGCAATACATTCTTAAATATGACACCAAAAGCATGAACAACAAACAAAAATAGATAAACTGAACTTCATCAAATTTGAAAATGTTTATGTATCAAAGCACATTATTTTAAAAATGAGAAGACAACCTACAGAATGGAAGATAATTTCAAATCATACATCTAATAAGGACTTGGTATCCAGAATATATGAAGAATTCTTATAATTTAACAACAAAAAGACAACCCAACTAAAAAAAAAATAGGCAAATAACTTCAGTAGACATTTCCCCAGAGAATATATACAAATGGCTAGCAAGTACATGAAAAGATACTCATATCATTATTCATTAAGGGGATGCAAATGAGGTACCACTTCAAGCCCACAAGGAAATTTGTTTCAACGGGAAATAAGTGTTGTTGTTGTGGAGAAATTGGAACCCTTATAGATTGCTGGTGGGTATGTAAAATGGTACAGCCACTATAGAAAACATTTTGGTGGTTCCTTAAAAAGTTAAGCATAGAATTAGCATATGACCCAGCAAATCTACTCCTAAATAGCCAAAAGAATTGAAACCTGATATTCAAACGAATAGATATACATAGTCAAAATATCTAAAAGATGGAAACAATCCAAATATTCATTAACAGATTAATGGATTTTCAAAATGTGGCTTTTCCACTGGGTAGGATATTATTCATAAAAAGGATTGAGGTGCTCATACATGGTACAATGTGCATGAACCTCAAAAACCTTACACTAAGTGAAATAAGCCAGGAACAAAAGGCCAAATATTATATTATTCCATTTATATGAAATATTCAGAATAGGTAAATTTACAGAGACAAAACAGATTAATGATGCCAGGGGCCAGGAGGAAAGGAGTATAGGCAACAATTGCTTCATAGATACAGGGTTTCCTTTTGGATGATGAAAATGTTTTGGAACTACATATAGGTAGGTTCTGGTTGCACAACATTATGAATAATTAAATAACATATAAGTGGTTGTTTTTTAAAATTAAAAAAAATTTTTTTAAAGAGACAGGCTCTTGCTGTGGTGCCCAGGCTGGCCTTGAACTCCTGGCTGAGGCGATCCTGTTGTCTCAGGCTCCCAAGTTGCTGAGAGTACAGGCATGCACCACTGTGTCTGGGTTAGGTGACTTGTTTTTTGTTATGTAAATTCTACCTCCATAAAATATTAAAAAATAGAGTAATCAAGACTAGATTCTTTCCTTCTTGTGTCTGCCATATTTCATGGTTAATTTAAAAATTTTAAAACACAGTAACATATTTATGACATATCTTTGGTTATTACTACCTTGGGTTTTCATCATGCTAATGCATTCTCTCATTATTTTCTACTCTGCAATTCAGATTTCAGTCCAAGGCTTCAGGTACATTGCAAACAGCTGCACTGGAATTCTTCATCTTACCATTAATGACATGCCAACTCTGACGGACAACTGTATAAAGGTAGGTAGTTGGAAAGTATATTTTCTTCTCTGTCCTATAAGAAAAATGAATGTCCTATAAAAAAATGAAAAATGAAAAATATGAGTGGACTTTTCATTTTAGTTATTTTTTAATAGTAATACAATCATTTAAAAGTTTTCACACACCCACATACCCTTGAAAACATTTGAATCCTTAAATATCCTAAGGCACCTTATTTCACAGTTAGGATTTTTTTTAGTGATGTTATAGCCTAAGCACAAACTTTGAGTTTAGTTCTCCATGTTAAGCTGCCAAATGTAGTAATTTTTTTCAGTAGTCAATTTCTCATGTTTTCCCATACTCTTAGTACATGATTTAATTCTGATTTCTCCACATTACTCAAATGTAAGTGTATAAACATGTATTGAAAAATCTAATTTTCTTTGAAATTAGGAAAATTAATAGTTAACATGTCGTTTCTAATATATTGAAGGAAAAAATGACTTTATTACCTTACTAAACCTGTTCTGAACACTTGATTAATAATTTTTTCTTCTGAAGGCTTTAGTTGAAAAGTGCTCTCATATTACATCGATGGTTTTCACTGGTGCACCGCATATCTCTGATTGTACTTTCAAAGCTCTGTCTACTTGTAAACTCAGAAAGATCCGATTCGAAGGTCTGTTATATTAAAAACATGGTTCCGCATTATCATTTACTTTTACTCTTGCGGCATTACAAATACAATACTTGTCTTTTCTTCTCTTTTTTAAAAACAGGAAATAAGAGGATTACTGATGCATCCTTCAAATTTATAGACAAGAATTATCCAAATCTCAGTCACATTTACATGGCTGACTGCAAGGGAATAACAGACAGCAGCCTCAGGTCACTTTCACCTTTGAAGCAATTGACTGTGTTAAATTTGGCAAATTGTGTAAGGTAATGAGTCATTCAGTCAAACATTCAAGAAACATTGATTATCTAGTATGTGCCAGGTCCTCTCCTAAGGAACTTATGGTTTGTGGGGTAAACATGAAAGTCAGAAGTCCAGGAGTTAATGTAGAGGTATGCACAGAGTTCTGTGATTATAAAAAAGAGGGACTCCCAACCCAGGCTGATTTTATGGGGGGATATGGGGAATTATGGACCCTTGTAAAATTAAGGAAACTCAAAGGAATACTTATGGGCTACCTTTCCTACTGAGGGTTCCCATAGCTAGTTTAGTTAACAGGATCTTTTCTCATATGGACTTTCTGAATTGCTTATGAAGAACCAATCTCACTGAAGGTTTTCCTCTTGGGTACTGGTTAGATTTTTCCTCCGTGTAGAATTTCTGACAAATGGACAAAGGATGAGTTCTTACTGAAATCCTGTCTTTGGCTGGGCCACTATTGGATTACTCTCCTGGTATTCTCAGGATCAAATTCTTTTTTTTTTTTTTTTTTTTCTTTTAGATGGAGTCTCACTCTGTTGCTCTGGCTGGAGGGCAGTGGCGCGATTTCAGCTCACTGCAACCTCTGCCTCGAGTGCTCAAGTGATTCTCCAGCCTCAGCCTCCTGAGTAGCTAGGATTACAGGTGTGTGCCACCATACCTGGCTAATTTTTGTATTTTTAGTAGAAACAGGGTTTCACCATGTTGGCCAGGCTGGTCTTGAACTGCTGACCTCAAGTGATCTGCCTGCTTCAGCCTCCCAAAGTGCTGGGATTGCAGGCGTGAGCCACCACACCCTGCCAAGGATCAGGAAGTTTCTTGCTGAAATCTCTTCCCCAGTGGGTAACTCAGCCTCTTACCTATGTAGAATTCTTATAATCTTATAGAGCCAGATAATAACAAAATAGCACTTGATCCACAAAATAGTGCTTGATCCACATTGAAGTTGGCTAACATTTGGGAAAGCACAAGTCAGCATAATAATCTAAGCTACATAGAATCTTTTATGTATTTATTTGCATTTTTTTGAGACAGAGTCTCAATCTGTTGCCCAGTCTGAAGTACAGTTGCGCAGTCACTGTAACCTTGAACTCCTGGGCTCAAGCGATTCTTCTGCCTCAGCCTCCCAAGTAGCTAGAACTACAAGGCACACTCCATCATATCCAGCTAATTTTTAAATTTTTTGTAGAGACAGGTCTCACTATATTGTCCAGGCAGGTCTCAAACACCTGGCTTTAAGTGATCCTTCCACCTTGGCCTCCCGAAATGCTGGGATTATAGGCATGAGCCACTATACTGGCCCACTACACAATCTCAACCTATGTTGCCTATTATTAAAATGTGGAGGCAACATGGATCAGTCGGGGCTGGAGAAGATATAAGGGTTTGGAATGGGAAAAACCTGGATTAGGAAATGAGGGCTCCAGCCAAGGGCCAGTGAAGAATTAAAGCCTCCTGTCAACAGCCATGTGAGTGAGCCTGGAAGCAGACCTTACAGTTCCAGTCAAACCTTCAGATGACTTAAGCTCTAGCTGGCACCTTGACTGCAAACTCATGAGAGACCCTGAGCTAGAACCACCCTAGTTCACTTCCAGATCCCTGAGATCCAGAAACTGGGAGATAATAAATGTTTGCCATTTAAGCCACAAATTTGGATCAATTTGTTACATAGTAATAACTGTGAGACACACACACACACACACACACACACACACACACAATGTACACCAATGTGTGTGTATCAACTAATTCTGTCTATATGAATATGTGAAATAAAACTGAATTACATTCTTGTATTTCACTCAGCCTTCTGCAAATTAATCTTTTTTTTTTTCCTTTTTTTTTTTTTTTTTGAGTCTCACTCTGTCACCCAGGCTAGAGTGCAGTGGTGCCATCTTGGCTCACTGCAACCTCCACTTACTGGATTCAAGAGATTGTACTGCCTCAGCCTCCCGAGTAGACAGGTGTCCACCATCATGCCTGGCTAAGTTTTGTATTTTTGTAGAGACAGTTTCACGATGTTGGCCAAGCTGGTCTTGAACTCCTGACCTTAGGTGACCCACCTGCCTTGGCCACCCAAAGTGCTGGGATTACAGGCGTGAGCTACCGCACCTTGCCTAATTAATCTTAAATGGAAGTTTTTTGCCTCCAGAAGTAGAGGTGACAAGACATTTCAAAGGGCTGTGCCAAAAATAGTTCAGATCCTTGATGAAATATATTTTCAATATATTACTGAGCTCACAAAGAGTAAGAGAAATATCCAATAGCCCTCAATCCCCTAATTCTTTGCTACTCTCTCAATGAACAAATTCACTGAGATGAATAGTGAGTAGCCAGCAAACATAAAAGGTTGAGAAGCCCTAAGCACAAATTTCATGACAATACTGCCTTTGAGAGAATCAGCTCTGAGCAAGACTCAAAGTAGGGAGGTAGAACCTGAGACTTCTGCAGGGTTTGTACCTCTTTAAGGGGGGCAGAGTGGTCTCAGGAGGTAGTCCCCGAGCTCCTGGAAGACATTAGCACAAAGCTTCTCAGGCTAGAGATTAAGATCAAATAAATAGGTGCCCAAAGTCAAAGATTGCCAAAATGCACAAAGATATGAGTCACTGTGAGAAAGAGTCACAGAAACAGCAAAATACACTTGACCTTCAGGTAATTCAAATATAGGAATTGTCAGACATAGAATGTTAAGTAACCACGTATGAAATGTTTGAAGAAATAAAAAATGGAATCAGAAATATGAGCAGACAACCAAACATGATAAAACAGATTTATCTGGGGAAAAAAACCTAACTTTTAGAAACAAATGATGTAATATAGTTATTCAAATAAACAATGGATTGCTGATCAGCAGATTAGAACTCAGGGAATTATAGAGCTGGAAGATCATTTTGAAGAAATGACAACAGAGGGAGGATGAAAAAGTATAACATAGGGTAAAAAGATAAAGCTTAGTATCAGAGTTTTAAGATTTCAAAATTTATATGTAAGAGTTAGACCTAAAATGGTAAGTTGGAGCATTAAAGAATATACACTTTTCTCAAACACACATCAATCCTTTAAAAAATCAACCATGGAACCAAGGTTCCAACAACCTTCAAACTATTTTTATCAACAAATTGTATTCTCTTACTACAAAGCAACTCAAGAATCAGCAATGAAAAGATAAATTAAAAATACATATTTGAAAGGATTTAAAAGTAAAAATCTTCGGGTATCAGAATCACCTGAGGAGCTGAATAAAACTATAGATGCTTAAGCCCCATATCAGAGCTATTGAGTCTAAATCATTAGGGATGGAACCCTAGCTTGTGTATTTTAAAAAAAAAACAACAAAAAAAAAAAAAAAAAAAAAAAAAACAGCATGGATACTTTTGATACACACCCAGGTTTGGCCCTTCCTAACTTCATTAACCAATTAATTTGGATCATTATCTCAATAATCTTTTCCGTTGACTTTTAATCCTTTCTTGACTATAATATGAATTTCTGCGTGTGCAAGTGCGCACACATACACACACGCCCTTAATTGCTTTCCCAGGTGCTGGCACACTCCCCCTCTTAGAGGTGGAAGATGGGTAGATGGGCACAGCAGGCATCCACCTACTATGGCTCTTTCAGCTGAAACAGGATAACATCTTTTGCCTTTACTGCTCAGTTCTTTGCAAATCTGAACCAACAAAGGGTGTAAAGGATGTCAGCAATCAGCATGTTCTGCTCCCAGTGCTCTTCCCATCTGTATGCCTACCTGTAGAGCTGTTGTGAAAACCGCCTCTTAGGAATGCATTGATGCAAACTCCTGTCCTGCTTTATTTTCTGAAATGCTTCTTAGAAGGATCTGGTGGTTCTCAAATGGAATTAGAAATGAAGATCCCAACAAAAGACAGGGAATTGATGGCCAAACGGACATCTGGCCATTTACAAAGCAGGATTGACATGATACGGGTATGGCACTGACACACAGAGGAAGTTTCTGATTAGGATAGTGTGGGAAGGCTGAGGTCAAGGTAATCCAGCATCAGGTTTTCTCTGATTCAGAGGGAAAGAAGCCAAAGGCCTCATGTTGAGTTTCCTGTCCAGCAGATTCACCTTGTAGTTAGTGAAAATTCCTTCAAAATTCTGGCAGTAGTTTGACTGGTAGTCATGGTTTTCATTCTCCTAAGTTTTGGTCTTTTTCTTTTGCAGGCAATGGTATCAGGGATTAGTTAACTTGATCACATTTTAACCCAAGAGAAAAAGACCTTGAGGGCCATCTGTCTTATTAAAAATTATGAACAAAGGAACATAAATAACATTTTAATTAATACTTCTCCCATTCCTCTCATTTATACTTTTTTATTACGTTAAAATCTACATTAAAAAAATTGGGTTTCAAAATGTTGACAAAATACCAGTATATAGATATTACCTTGCTATTTTGGAAATATATTGGGTGTGATAGCTATTACTTTAATATTATTATATATGTTTATATATAGAATCACATGTAAAATTTTTCTCACTCTTCCCTACAGAATTGGTGATGTGGGACTAAGGCAATTTCTTGATGGTCCTGCAAGTGTAAGGATAAGAGAGCTAAATTTAAGCAACTGTGTGCAGCTAAGCGATGTCTCTGTTATGAAACTATCTGAGCGGTATGATAAAACAGTCTTTTACATCATATCATTAGTAATTGTATATTTGATAATAGGAGAGATGAGACTCCTAAAAGCAGAGATTTCATGATATTTGGGGGAACATCAGAGATGCCCAAAAACTGATTATTCAGTGAAACTGTATAAAAGACCTCAAAGTCATAGATTGAACCAGTTTTTATATTATATTATTATATATAAATTACATCTGAGATGGAGTCATTCATGAAATAACGACTATCTAGATATGGGTGGCTTGTCTGTACTTTTTCAAGATTATCTCTAAGTAAACCTTTACTCTAGCATTTTCCAAGAGGTGTTCTGGCTGGTTAGTTTATTCTTGACTCCCCTCTTGTCAAAAGTCTTGTACAATTCCTGTAGCAGACTTGTAAGGGATAAATAGGGGACTTAACTTGCACTTTTACTGGTCATTCATTGTGGTACTTATGTGATAGTTTTTGATATGTATGTGATTTTTTTTTTCTTATTAGAAATTGCAATATGAAGCTACAGAAAGTCTTATAATAATCTGCTGCCCTTTCATCCAACTTCATAATGCCAAATTACTTTCTACTTTTAGTCTTAAAATTTTTGTTGAGTAAAAGAAAATCCTTGCTTCAATACCATTTGTTTTTCCAAGATAGTTTTTGTATGAAGACATTGCTCACTGACAATATGATTGACAGCTAAAATTAATTCATGCTGCTTTCTTTCAGCTGCCCTAATTTAAACTACTTGAGTTTACGAAATTGTGAACATTTGACCGCCCAAGGAATTGCATATATTGTAAACATCTTTTCGTTAGTATCAATAGATCTCTCTGGAACAGATATCTCTAATGAGGTAAAAAAAAAAAATCAAAACAGTACAATGACTTTTATTGTTTCATTAATACAGTTATTTGCTATTTTGTAAACAATGGAGAGATATGTTTTATTTCTTATTCTATTATAAAAGTTAAATTTAGGGTTATTGTTTATAGAAGGTGATAGAAAAGTTTCTTTGTGAATCAGTAGTCATGTTTGTTTTAAAAATAACAAAATACAGTATTTTGAGGAAAGTCATGACAGATAAGAGTATGTCAGGATAATTTGAAATTTGTTTCATTATAGAAGTTTGGTAAATGTGGAAATAATATGTTAGATGGCTTAACTATATTTTTCTTATGGATTGCACATTTTATAAGACTACCTGAATGCCCTGAGATCTAAGTCTTTAATTCAAGACTGAAGTCTAGAAATGCCCTCAGCAAATCTACAAAAGGATATATTTTAAAGAACTCCTTTCCTTAAATGAGTTCCTTAAACAAGGAAGGAACATGGAAGAGACATAAAGGAAGCTGTTGATTCTATTCATCAGGGTTGAAACTCAGGCCACATCTATCTTACCCCTCTGGGACTGCCCCATTTACTAATCAAAAGGAGGATAACTCTGAGAGATTTGCCATGCTTCTGAAAGAATTAAATGGGCAATAGTTATATAAGGAATATATGGACTTCTCTTGAAAATCATGCATTGGGAGGAATCTAGGAAGACCATATGGGAAGTAAGGATCCCTCTTCCATCTTCTTGCTAAATCCCTATTCACCCCTGAAGACTCAGATCAAATATCACCTGTCTGTGAGGGCCTTCTCTGAGAGGCCCTACCTTGCAGGCAAGCACTGGAATTTCTCCACGTGCATCTCCAGCTCCAGTACATCCTTTAACATGAACTGTTTCTCTCCATTTCTCACTGCGTTGCAGACATCTGTGTTATGTGTTCATCCTTCTCAACATTCAGTGGGCTCTTTTAAATGAAGGACTAGACCTGTTCATTGTTCTAGGTTCTTTCCTTTCTTTATTTATGAATGAACTTGGTTTCAGCCTCCGTTCTGCTAGATAATCTCCTCTTTCCTTCCATATCACTCACGTGTGATATGAGAGTGTGTGTAGGGAGCAGTAACATGGAGTCATCTCATTATGGTGGGGTCAGTGTCTGGTCTTCTCAATGCTGTCTTCTGTCCACCTGGAATTCACTGAGATGTGTGAGGGCTCATTTGGTATTTAGTTTCCTGTCCAGGTGGATCCTTCATGTCTCTTTCTTGTTCAGACGCCAAGGCCCCTTCAAGTCTTCAGGCTTCCCTGTCATGTCTGCTTTGCTCTGGATTCCTCTGGGTCTTTCTGGGTCATGGAGATCCTGTGAGGCTGTCCTAGGTTCACAGTCCTAGTCACCTGCTGCAGAAATTTTCTTGCTCCCGCATCATGGATGTGTTTGCTCCCAAACCCATGACTCACCCTCCCCTTGCTCTGCGAGAGGGTGACTCACACCAGTCAGCTAGATTCCAGGTTAGGGTTGGTGCTTGTGAGACATTTGTGAATGATTAAAGGGCCCGTAGAAAGGACAGTCCAGTGTTTTCCTCTACCTTTCTTTGCATCATCATCATCAGCTACATTTCCTTAGTGGTCTACTCCCCTGTGAACCACAGGCCTGCTGTGGTTCCAGCTTCCCTGAATGACCTTGGCCCCTGAACTTCAATAACACCATATCTTCCCATTGTCCTTCCAGCATAGGGACAGTAGTGGCTTCCTACTGCTGCTAGTCTCTAGATTTTGTCACTGTCCAATTTGGCTCCTCAGTTTCTCTACCACCCATGTGGCCACTCCCCCATTAAAATTAAATCTCCTCAGTTTTGAATGTTCAGGGTTGTTTCTGCTTTTCCCATTGACTCTTAACTGATACAATGACGGACACAGGAACACTCCATCTTATTGCTTTTATCAACCCTATTGGGAAAGGTGGAATGGGTTCCCATCTACTTAGGTCCCTAAGCCTACCTGTGGGTTCCAACTTTCTCTTTAGCTGGATAGAGACTGAGAAGGTCTATAACAGGCCCCCATATGGTGAATTTCTCAGGATTTGCTTCACTCTGGCTCTCCCCTCCCCTCCTCTTTTCCCCTGCCCTCTCCTTTTCTCCTCTCCCTCTTGTCTTCTTCCCCTCCACCTCATCTCTCCCCTCGTCTCATATTTGCTCCTCTCCTTTTGACATAGATTCTTTTCCTAATCTGGGGGTGGAAAAAATGTTCCAACCGATTACATGGTTTTAAAAAATGTTATCCCCCAAGTCTTTCAGGGCTTGGGCTTTTGAAGTTTAAAAGCCCAAGATTTTCCTCCTGTGTTCTTTTGTAAGAACCTTTTCCTGACACATAGGAAGAGAATGGCCAGCTGTTGTCTGAAGGGTCACAGAGTGACAAGAACTAGAGAATCATAGCACATTATAAAACACATCAAAATATAATTCCCCACAGCACTTACCACAAGCCTGAAGTGCCTGGGGAATATTTGCTGACTGAATGGAGTAAAGGTTAAAATGGTTTATTTAGTTTTTAGCATTTGGGGAAAGCTCAGGTTTTATTTTTAAAGACTGTATATTAAAATTTTATCCATAGAGGACAAGTTAAAAACTTAGGAATATAGGCCAGGCGTGATGGCTCACGCCTGTAACCCCAGTACTTTGGGAAGCTGAGTCAGACAGGTCACTTGAACCCAAGAATTTGAGACCAGCCTGGGTAACATCATGAAACCCCATTCTCTACAAAACATACAAAAATTAGCTGGGTGTGGTGATGTGCACCTGTAGTCCCAGCTTCTCAGGAGGCTGAGAGGTGGGAGTATAGCTGGAGCCCGGGAGGTCAAAGCTGCAGTGAGCCATGATTTTACTGCTGCACTCTGGCCTGGGAAACCTGGGCAACACAGCAAGATCCTGTCTCAAAAAAATAAAAAGCAACTTAGGAGTATAGCCTCAAGTTCTAGTCTCCATTTTTGTTTTCTTCTGAGGCATATATGTAATTTAAGAGAATTGTAAATGGACACATATTGGGAAGTATACTAATTGTTTTCTGCTAAAAGACTGAAAAGTAAGTCTTCTGTTGTTTTCTTCCTCCAAGTCAGTTAAACTCTGATCTAAAAGGCAAATGATTGACAATTACAGTGCTACAACAGCTGTGGAAGCTAACCTCAAACAGTCATATTTTAATATGAGTCAGCCCGGATGTCAGCTTGGGCAGCTAAACACCAGCCTGGATTATAGGTCTGAGGAAGTGCAAATTTGACTACAGACATAACATTCAGGATTTAAACTCTGGGATGTTACAGATATCCACCAAAGATCAGTTGTGACCAGTTATGCCATTTTGGGGGAAATTTCTCATGTTTTCTAATAATTAATGTTCATTCTAAATTCTTAATGGTGAATTTTCGGTTAGAATCACACTACTCATTTAGTTAACAAGTATTTATTCTGACTACATTGTGCCCTGCTCTGGGAATACTGGAATGAACAAAACAGACGTGATACCTCCTCCTAGTACTTACGTTCTAGTGGGAAGACAGGAATGGGGCAAGTGGTTATAAAGTATGATGAGTGTGGGAAACAGAGAGGGGAAACCTAACCTGGCTCAAAGATTCTTTTCCCAGAGAAGAAAGGGTGTTCTGTGAGCCAAGGAAACTGCCTGCGCAAAGGCATAGAGGTTTAAAAGTGTGCGATATCAGGAAACCGACACATTTGCATATGGCTTGTTGGTGAGAGTATGGTGAGATGATGTTTGAGAGATAGGCAGGGGTCAGGTCATTGAGGGCCCAGGGCCACATTAAGGAATTTGACCTCTGCTCTTCGGGCAATGGAAGGACATTCAGTGTTGTCAGAACAGTAACATGGTCAGATTTATATTCTGAAAAGGTCACTCTGTCTGCTAGACAGACATGGGAATCATAGATACATAGTGACTAATGATAAAGCAGTCATCCAGGTGAAAAGTTATGAACGTCTATATTAGGGAGATGGCAGTAAGCATGTGGCAAAGTCAGCACATTTGGGAGACACTGAGGAAGAAGAAACAGCAGGAGATAGAGCTGGACTGAATGTAGGGTTAAGGAAGAGAGGAAGCAAATCAAGGATGGCACCAGATTTCTGGCTTAAGCATCTGGATAAAGGATGATGTGCCTTCCTAAGCTGTGTCCCTTACACAGTCAGGGAGCAAGTTTGCTGCAGGTTGGGAAAATGAACATGTCTAGTTTGAGTCACCCACACGACAGCTTTATAGAGATGTAGATCAGGACACTAACTGAAATTCATACCTCAGAGATAGAAGAGCTCTTTGGGGTTAGAGAGACTAAAGGGACATTGTGTTCTGAAAATCTTGAAAACTCATGAAGAGGTTGATTAGCAAAGGCCAAAATGCAGACATTTAGAAATCCAGAAAGGTATTTATTGGAGAGAACTAACTTAAATGAGGGAAGCAAAAAGGAGAACACAGTTATATCAAGGTTTGTGTTTCTTATAATAATCTTATTCTCAGTTATTCCTTTTGTGGAAAATAGTGAATAATTTATTGTATCATCCATGAACAAAAGTTGTTTAGGAAGTTACCTACCAAGTACATATTAGGGAAAGAGGAAAGATGTCAATTTGCCTCTTCTAATATAACAGGATAGGGTTTCTAAGTGAGAGAAATAGCTTATTAATGTGATAATATCTTAAGATATCTTCAGAAATCTTTACTCTCCTACAGCTTTTCAAAATGTTCATTTAAATGGGCCATTATTCATTCCCTTCCTACTCCAGAGGATTATTTGAATATGAGGTTATATCTCCATGTATGTGGGAAAATGTTTCCTGCTTGTTAATCAGATTATCATTTTACTAAAGACCACAGGATCCATGGTGAGGGCAGTTCAGTCTGTTACTTAAGTTGCCTTAGTCACCGCCATATTTGTTGTTTAAAGGAAAAGTGAGTCAGAGCAGTGTCCCAGACAGTGTGCTTAGATAGTGGTTTAAGAAGAGTCTTTCATTTGCTTGATTTTCAAA